CCATAATGGCATCTTATATTTTTAAATTTATCACCTACTGAGATATGTCAAGCCCAGAGAATATCGAAACCATGCTTCACAAGTCTTAAATTGTTAGTGTTTCAACTAGTAAACAATCACTAGGACATGGCTTAAATACAATAGACCATACACATTACATTGATTTTTAACATTTGTATTTTAAAATAATGATTTTATGTTCAAGCAAAGCTGACTACAGTTTTTAAAATAGAAGACTAGAAGAGAAGAATTAGTAGGTTAATGTTTAACAATGGGTTATAATCATAGACTTACTTGGTTTAACACAAAAGGAGTTTTGCATATGAAAATTTCCAGAACAACAGCATGCTCCAGTGTTCATGAATCTGGAGATTTGGATATTTTGAGCAGGATTTATACAGCACCATTTAAAAGAATTTTGCTTTCAAATGGATTTTTTTAGAAGAAGCGCAGACACATTTTTTAGGTGTGTGTGTGTTAAAAATAAAAAGAAAGAAAAACTTTTCTTGCTTAAGCCCTTACACATTCAAAAAATCACATATATGGTTCGGGAAAGACATATAACTTATAGCAATATCACTGAATAGGTTCTCCATGTTGGCATAGAGTTTTAGCTATATTTTGCTTTTTTCCAATGGAAGACAACTTAGAAAAGCAAAAGTTACTTGACAACAAAACCAAGGAAAGTTCCTAACGCCTAATGTTTGAATTTTCATGAGATGTGTCCTTGGCATGAGCTTTTTATTCCTTTTAAATATATTAACCCACAAAATGATAAGGTGCTTTCTCTATTGCCAAGGAGAAAAAAATCTAATTGAATATTTTTACAATAAAATTACCCCTAAAAACAGCCATTCAAATTTTAAAAAGGATACAACTTTAAAGAAAAATATGTCTGCTAGTGTCATTTTAATATAGTTTACAGAGAGTACAGGAAAAGTGCACTTACATGTCTATTTATGATTAAAAGAAAAATTTATTAGTGGAAATTAGGACTGCATGTTGCTGCATCATTAGTGTGTTCTGTATTCAACATTGGGTCTGTATATAAAATTTTTCTAGAACTAGGCCTCACACAGAAATCTCAGAGTTGAGCTATTTGTGTTCAGACTCCCCCAATCAAATCAGTGGAGGAGATTCTCTTAAAAATCTCCCCATCATGAGTATAAAATGCCTCCATATTTACTTTTGTATGATTTGGTCTTTCTCATTTCAAGGTATGCAAAACTCTTTTGTGTATTTTGCTGTTAGATATTTGCTTAAGAAATGTGAAACCTTCACCCAATCACAAACCATATACATTGCTCCATTGTCTGTTTTACACTGAATCTCCTACTGAGTCCAAATCATCCGAAGAGAGGGGGCGATACAGGTCCTGTAAGACGAAGGTGGCATAGATTTGTTTATTTGATTTTCTTGGGTGCCCTGTCACTCTTAGGAGCAACACTGAATGGGCATCCTTGGTTTCTAATATCATCAGTCCTTTTAAAGTCACCAACTTCAGATATGAGAAAAGATAATCATAGAGAAACCATCTAAATAGAAAAACTGGTGCTGATTTTGCCTTATTGGCAAGAAAATGCTGCTTGATCCACTCATGAGCTTTTTGCCCTACTTTGTGTGCAGTCAAATTTTACATCTCTGAGGTCTGCCAAGGCCAACTCTGCTACTATGCATCTAGGCAATTCTTTTGTGAACATTTCCTCCCCATCTGGATGGAAAAGGAATGCTTACCTCTCAAAACAATTAATCAGGAGCCCCAGCTGGCACTCAGCACATTCTAGTCCCAGGGCAGCAACTCACATGTTGCATTTGCACATAACGTGAACCCAACAGACATTACCTTTACAAAATTTTATGTTTGAACAACAGAAAGAACGCCCAGTAACCCACTCCATCCTTCCCCAACATTCTCTCTCTGTTCCCAACACATGTCCATCACCTCCCATCTTCTTCTTCCCGCCCCTTTCTGCTACTAGATCTCTCTGTTGGTAGCCAAGCAACCAGCTCAGATCTACAGTGTCTAGAGTTGGCTTTTTTCCTCTTTTGTACCACCCACTCCTCACATCATCTGACTGATCAGATTATCTACAAAAGTCAGTGATGTGGGAGGATAACGAGGAACTTCATTCAACCTACACAACACAACACATTTCTTCCTGAAATCTTAAGAAATGGGATCAAAACCAGTTCATAGATGGGAAAAGAATCCTCTGTGACCAAATGTTTCTAGATAGCAATTAAAAGAACTGTGCTGTGGAATAATAGGGAGATTATCTGATATGTTGCCATGAACATGTTTATGAAGAACAATATCTGGCATGCAAACTCTAAAGGTATAAGAGTATTCTAAAATGTCCAAAAAAGCAACAAAAATATGATTTTAAGGGAACAGAAAAACTGGTAGAATCAGCATAATTAATATAAGTGAGAATGAAGATCTTTCTTGTTGGGATAAAAAGCAATCCAATGTCTCAATGTTTCATTTTTCAAAAATCTGTTTATGTTTCTTTATTTTAAAATGGAGCAAGAACTGTGTGTGTGCATGCATGTGTGTGCATGTGTATGTGTGCATGTAGGGGTGGGGGCAGCCAACTGATTTTCTTGGCCATGTTGCTAGGCAACACAGAAGGAAAAAATAGAAGTAGCTACTGTTTTCCAATTTGTGATAAAAAAAGTTAATTTATTCTTTGAAGTGTCTCTTTTAGCACATGCCATCTTTCACTTATTTCAGTATTTCCTGCACAGGAGTATAGCCAACCATTTGAGAGGAAAATTAACCAAATTTGAAACGGGACCAGTTTATAGGGACATCCTCAGCCTGTTTTAACTGGGAGGGGTTATTTGGTACAGTTGCCTACACACCAAGATGAAAGTTCCGCTTGCGAAAGCAGCTGGGAATGTCTCCATGCACTGACATGGAACATAGATAGAGGATGGTCATAAATTCAAAAGCCTGAAAACTGAGCCATCTTTGAATACATCCAGTGTCCTGCCCACAACATGTGCTTAATAAATGGTGATAAACTTTTTGTTCCCCTAAAACAATGGAGTTGTTTTTGCTGTCAAAGATAGTGCTTGCAATGGCAGCTTAAGTGGCAAAATGAAGAATCTATGAGAATCATACAGTATGACTATTTGCCAGATTTTATAAATGTTAATTATAAAATCCAGTGGCCACATACTGGATGGACATTTCAACCTCAGTTGGACAAAATCCTAGCTTCATTCTTCAAGCTCTAGCTTCATTCTGCCAACAATGGAATGCCTGAGCATAGTTTTATATCCCTAAGATGGAGATCTCCACAAGGAGGCATCTAGGAGAGAATCTTCCCTCTATAGCAGGGATTTTCAGTCACTCTCCATTTAATTTCAACAACGAAGCATGAGCTACACCAATGAATATTGAATCTGAGTTTAATTAGCTCAAAGAGGGATTTCTACGGTAGGTGTACTCGCCAAAGCATACACTTAAAGTGAGAGAATGCGCTAAAAGATGGCCCTTCCTGTGCTATAGCTAGCGACTGACCGTCTAGGTTGGAGCCTAGAACAAAACATTTATCAGAAAAGAATGACCGTATCAGCCTTCCCTCCCCTCAAGGGCTGCCTGAATTTGGACAGTTCTTCTTGGAAGAGTTCACTGTGAATTCCTGTACCTCAGAATGTCAAATTAGACTATGACCAAGAGGAAAACACCAGTGAAAACACTCACAGGGAGCTGGCATAGAATTATTGGAAGTTCTGTGTGCAAGGAGGCTCTTTTGCTTTGTTTTGCTTTTCCACTGAATAGGAGGACCAATAGGAGACTTCTTTAAGATAAGAGGAGGAGAAGCTGGGGCCAAACCCCAGGCTTCATCAGACAGTCTACATGCGTTTAACCTGATGTCGGGTGAGTCTGTAGAGACAGGTACTCAAACCTGACATTTGGTGCTACTGGCTCCAAAGCAATGGGAGGCTGACTGAGTCATAGATGGCTGATGGTTCTGCTGGTTTAGACAACTGGAGGGGGAGATCTGAGAGGCCCTCCCATGTTGGATGAAGATTAAATGGATGGAACTTAGAAGTTGCATTTTAAAGCCCAAAATAAATGCAGCCAAATTCAAGAATCCAGTATTTGAGTGCAGTAGCCTCCAAAGAAGTCTCTGCTTCTTAAAATGTCCCACGAGCACCATCATAAAACCTCCTAAGGGTGCACATTCCCCAACCTGGTCCTGAAGTCAGGACCATGAAGGGCCTCCCATTTCTTCTACTATACCCATCCTGTTCTCCCCTTTCCTACTTCTTTCATTCTTGTCTCATCATTACTGCAAAAAACAAATAGCATAGAGGTGTTAGGGGAAAAGCACAGTAAGTCTTTTGCGCTGCAAGAAGAGCTAATCCTTACACCTGTCCTTAGCGTGGACGAGGTACCACTGTTCCCAGCAATGTTTTCACTGTGGTCTCCAAGCTCAGCCAATTTCTTCAGCACAACAGGCTAGAAATAAGTGTAGGTAGTGACGAAAGGGAAAGTGCTCAATGTGGGCTTCATTCACAAAAACAGGAGTCTATGTACTCATCCCCTGCTGCACAGACATTCAGCTCCATGGGACCACCAAGTACGCCACAAAGCAACTTCCTACCATGGTCCTTCTGCGTGTTCATAGCACTTTTTCCTTCTCGTTATGAGGCTGGTGAGCAATGATAATATGCAATAAAACTAAGTAAGCTTACACACCCACAGGTGTTAACACACTCTGTGTATTCAGAACATAAAAAGAGAGCATCTGAAAGTGAAGCCGCAAATGCACATTCTTTTCCAAATTAGGATTTGGACAACTGCACAGAGAAATTACAAGCCCTGAGTTCCGGGTAAGCCACAGCAATAAATGACCCACTGTTGGTCGCCTCCTGCTTTAGTGTGGTCATCTCTTAGAGAGCAGCAGCACTATTCGCTGGCACCCGGGCCACTTAGCACCAAAGCTCAGACAGATCTTAAATAGGCAGCTTGCTCTTTTCCTTACCCTCTGTTTCCGCAGGCTTCCTGGGCTGGTGGGTGATGGGCTTGGCGACTTGCCCGATCGTGGAGTAGAGAGCTGACTACCAGGGGTTCCATTAACTAGAAATGCAAAGAATCACACACAGAGAAAAAGGGCATGTTAAATAATTTTTGTGACAATTTATTTTCTCAGAAAAGCAAACAATTATAGAGGGACATCTGTTAAAATTCTAGATGTCCTTTTATCTCATCCTGACGAAAAGCCTCGGGGAATAACCTTCTTCAGAAATTCGCTGTTATGTTAATCCTGTGTTTAACTGAGTAGCAGGTTATATAATATTTTAAAAACCGCACTTTACACAACTATTCTCGTGAATTTATTAGTGATGTCTCTAACTGTGCCAACAGAGATTTTAGGATTGTGGTTAAGGTCCTGAGATATTTACAATGGGATTCGCTCTTGAGCTTTAGTGTAACTGCCCTGTACTACCCATGAGCAAAAAATATTAGCACAGCTCACAAGTGATATTCCCACAGTGACTAGATAAGACAAACCCGCTGTGTTTTTACAATTAACAACTAACTTCTAGAAGAAGTGCCAAGATCCACTTGTTATCCATCCCCCCAGCTTGCCTCTGATGGAACTGCCTGAGGCAGGACAAAGTGATTTCACTACAGACACTGAGGAACTGCTCCCAGTTTATCTTTGCTGCTAGTGAAAATATAAGTTGCTTTTCAAAAGATTCCAATCACTAGAATTCTATCCAAGTCTCAAGAGTTTTACACACCGTAATCACTTAACTGAAATAAAGCCACAGAACTCAAGTAAGCAATTCTTTTCTCAAAGCAGCCTCAATCTAAGAACAGATAAGACACTTGATGACATGATTTTATAAAGATACAGAAGGCCACCTCTAATTCACTTGCACAAAGGGCAGTAGTACAGTTCTACACTCATGAGGAAACTAGCAGGAGACACACACATTCTTGAAGGTACACAATAAACAGTTTCCACAAGGGCGAGCGACAATGCATTCCACTTACCTTCTATGAGTTCTAACATGGACACAGTCTTAGTGATTGACCTAACAGTAAGAGGCAAAAATCTCTTCTCAGCACTAAGCCAAGCACCAGCGGAAATGGGAAGCGGGTGGATTAGTTAAGGATGGCTAAGGCTGCTCCCAGAGCAGGCTGAATGAGATGCAGGATTCATCAGCAGATGCCTTTTCTGCGTAAGGCTGACGTCTTCCAAGCGGCAGTGGGAGGTGCGGGTTCTGTCTTAGGCTACATCAAAGGTGTCAATTAAGCCTCATGCCAACGCGGAGCCACGGCAACCCCCACCAGACACACACACTCACTCCCGGAAGCCCCAGCCTGTTCAGCGCTTTGCACTGAATCATAATGAAGTGCCTCTGGGGGCAAGAGACCCAGTGACTCATCTGAGATTCAAAATGACAATAACTCTTCTGAGTCTGGTAGCTGCCAGGTAATAGGACACCCTCTCAGAACTCAGTGGCTAGGTAGGATGTTTATTGATTTTTCACACACTGTGTTTTCCCTGAAACTTTTGGCCCAGGAAAATGGGAAGTGCCCTGTTTTTAAGGTCTCTTGAGGAGCTGACAAAACATGTCACACACCCCACGCTGCACTAATGTGCAGTTTTGCCTTTGAAATGTATTTGGTGACTCCTTCTAAAAAAAGGAAGAAAAACACAAACTTTTTTTTTTTTTTTTTTGCAGGGTAAAATGAAAAGCTGAGAATGCTTTAATTTGCTTGCATGCAGTAGTCCTGTCTTTGTTGAACGCTCCCAGCTGCTGGGGGCCTCAGGGTACTGGATTTTCTAGCCAGTCCCTTCTAGGGAAGGGCTCAGGAGTAAGGACTTCAGAACCGTGGGCAGAGGCAGAACCTGCACCAGGATGGGAAGAGATGTTCCGTGGGTCGGCCAGACAACGTGTTTTGCTAATATAATATTTTTTTGGTCCACTTTGATTACACTTTACCTCTTTACACTATACCTGAAGGCTACACTGATTGGAAAGACATGAACAAACAAGAGAACAAACACTGTGTTAACACTTTTTATTTTAGAGGCTGGAATCTTATCAAGCTAATGAAAACAGAGAAAGTGGACTCCTAGGAAAACAGCCTTAGGGATACCCTGCTTTAAAAAGAAAAACAAAACAAAAGGCTTGTATTTAGTAAGTGTCCCTTATATATGCACCTCAATTTATTGAATACATCCTATGCACTTAGACTTTTTATATATGTACAGTTATATGCATTTGTTTGCAAGTAAATGTGTATGTCTATTACCTCATTTAACTCACAATAATGTTAAGAAGTACACAATATTATTTCTCTCCATTTTATGGGCGAGGAAATGAAGGTGTAAGAATGAGTAACTTGACAAGAAAATATGGGGCAGAGGCCAAAATCCTACACAAATAATCCAAAATCTGCACTCTCACTACCATATTCCTTTACGGTGGCCAAGCCTTCTAGCCTAGAGGGAAAGCACAGGAATAAACTTATCAGTCCAATAAAGCACTTTTGAACACAGAAGTACTGGGTATTGCTCATGGAATTCCAATAACTGGTGAGGTCAACACCTTACAGAGAAGGTAATGGGTAATGGAATTACCCAGGTGAAGTGGGGGCGGGCACAATGAAGGAAATGCATCCAAACCCCAGGTGACCGCCAGTTTCAGGGCTGGGCATGGGAGAGGGAGCCAGTGTCATGCATGGAAGAGACAGAATAATTTAGTGTAGCAGATGTGTAGAATTTGGGGAAGAGAGCTATGGACAAGAACGGAGAAGGCTTGGGCTGCATGCTGGGCAGCGTGTTAAAACTCATGTTAAAGAGTGTGGATTTACCCATAGAGTCATCAGAAGCAACTGAATGATTTTAAGCAGGAAACATAGATTTATAACTTTTAAAAATGTTTATTTATTTATTTGAAAATCAGAGCTACAGAGAGAGAGGGAGGGAGAGACAGAGAAAGAGATCTTTCTTTGCTGATTCACTCCCCAGATAATTGCAATGGCCAGGGGTGGGCCAGGTAGAAGCCAGAGTTTCTTCCAGTCTGCAGCATGGCTGCAGGGACCCAAACACTTGGGAAATCTTCTGATGCTTTTCCCAGGCCATTAACAGGGAGCTGAACTGGAAGGGAAGCAGCTGGGACACCACCTGGCACCCAAATGGAATGCCAACATCGCAGGTGGTGGCTCTACCCACTACGCCACAATGTCAGCCCCATATTTATATTTTTAAAAACTCTCAAGATCTCTCACTCAGTCAGGAATGGATTAGAAGGGAACAATACTGGATGCAGGGATTTGCCTTACCAGAATGTTGAGGTAGGAGATAGTGGTCACAGATGGCGGCCTGATTGGTTTAGGATAATGTAGTAGGGATGAGGATAAGTGAAAACATTCCAGAGAGATTTCATAGTTAAAACTAGAGGACTTGGTGATTTGGGGTGGGCATTTGCCACAGCAGTTAAGATGCTGCTTGGGACACATGAATCTCATAGTAGAGTGGCTAGGTTCAAGTACTGGCTCCATTTCGGATCCAGCTTCCTGCTAATGCACACCATGGGAAGCAGCAAAGGCTGTCAAGTACTTGGGTCTCTGCCACCCATGTGGGAGACCTTGACTGAGTTACCAGCTCCTACCTTTGGCCTGGCCCAGCCCTGACTGATGCTGGCATTTGGGAAGTGTGCCAGGAATTCGGTGATCTCTATATATATCTGTTTCTGTCTCTTTCGCTCTCTCTCTGCCTTTTCAATAAATAATAAACAAATTAATAAACTATAGTACTTGGTAATGGGTTGGTTCATGAAGATTTAGGTAATGGAAGCAGTTTTAGAAGGCTAGTTGTTTGGACATGGTGAACTGAAGCCCCTCATGTGACACCAATTCCGCATGTAGGAAATGTCATTTTTCCTCTTTGAGATGGGGAAACTGACATTCAGAGGAGTAACTTGCCCAAAGACAGGCAGTTGGAAGGTGGCAGAGCTAATACAGGATCTCACGTATGTCTTACTTTAAACATTTTGCGCTTTTCCATGAGTAGCATGTGCTCGAACAGACCCATCCAGAAGGCTCCTCCTGTCTGTAGGGGTAAGGGCATTAAGATTTCTGTCTCTACCACTGGGACACTTGGACCCAGCTCCTTTGTTTAAAGCCACTAGGTGCAGTGCTTTGCATTGCATTGCCATCTCTCTGAGAAAATGAAACTCAAGTGCCAAATGAGCCATTTATAATAAAATATTTCTGGAACACAACCTGCCTGAAATACAGGAACAGCCTGTATTCTCAGGGTCAGAGCTCTGCCCAGACTCTTTCCTGGCCTCTCAAATAAAGCACTGGTAACTTCTTAAAAATAATTTTTTGAGAGCAAAATAGGAAGAAACCTCCCATCTACTAGTCCAATCCCCAAATGCCTCAAAAGCAGAGACTGGGCTGGGCTGGAGCCAGGAACCCGGGACTCAATCCAGGCCTAACACCTTGATAGTAGAAACCCATTCACCTGAGCTGTCACTGCTTCCTCCCAGGATCTGCATTAGCAGGAAGCTAGAGTCAGGAGCCAGAGCAAGGTATCAAATCCAGTTAATCCAATGTGGAACATGGGCATCTTAACCCTTAGGGTAAATGCTTGACCCTTAAAATGGTTCCTGACACACCTTATTGTTGAAGCACTACTGGATACATGTATTTTTATAGGTAAATTTGATGTATACACTGAATTCATTTGTTTTTTATTCTCTCACACCAGAAGTCCTTGAGTATCAATAAAAAGGACTTGCTACTTATTTAATAAGACTTATTAAAATTCAACTTACAAATAACATTATTTTCAGAGGCCCTTATTAAATATTTATTTATATTAAATAGGAAAAATTAATGTAGAGAGGTTGTTGGTAAATAGTCAAGAAGGTCTAACAGTTATTTCAGTCTAATTCCCTATACTCTGAATTAGTAAAACTCACCAGAACCACAGCCTTATAGCCAGTTCTGGTTTCTTTTGCTCCAATCCATATGGGTAAATGTTCCTTAAATCTTGTATTTCCTTGCTCCACTTGTTACTTCTGCCACGAGAAGTGCTAAACTTCAGGACA